ACACACACACACACACACACATACACACGCATATATATGTATAATGTTGGGCACACAGTTTATATAGTCTAGAGGAAGAAGTATGAAGCACAGGATGGAGATTTCAGTTCAGGTTCCTCAAATAACTTGTCATCTGGACCTCAGTTTCTTTTTCTCTAAGATACAGATAGCATAATCAAAATACTAACAATACCCTATTGACTTCTCGGTTCGCTGCAAGTATCTATTATGAATGAATATTTTAATGCATATGTATATAGGCAAATGCACATATGCATATATGTATGCATATATATACACACATAAATGTTATATGGCAACTTCAAATTTTCCTAAACATTTCACACAAATGAAGTTTTTTTTGTGTGTGTGGTTTTCTTCATCTTATAATGTAGTATTTATCTACCATTATATTTCTTTTCTGGGTAGAAATGTAATATTTCCTCTGTCAGGGATTTTTCTCTCTGAAATTAACTTATGAAACATGAGGGCACCACGGTACACCACTGAGTCTGGCATCTTTCAGTGTGATCTCTGCCTTTTTGGGCTCATATTTATTTAACAGGGTGTTCTTGGTTACCAAGCATGTCTGCAAGTTGCAAGGAACCTAGAAATATGTATAAGGAAATTAGACCAGTGTCATAAATATTTGATCTTCCATATGATCCTCCAAAAGTATCTCTAAGTTACTGTGCAGTTCAAGCATAGGGAAAAGTCCTTTAGCCTCATAACAGAGAGAAATAAATTCTTAGTAAATATTTTCTCTTCTTTTTTTTCCTTCCAACTTATCCTTTCCTATGCAGTTCAAGCATAGGGAAAAGTCCTTTAGCCTCATAACAGAGAGAAATAAATTCTTAGTAAATATTTTCTCTTCTTTTTTTTTTTTTCCCACTTACCCTATCTATAGGGGAACAACAAACTTCTGTCTTTTGAGAAACTGATTATCCAGTGATAAATTATTCCCAACCTTTGATTCTCCTCATTTTATTTTTCCACCTTTCTCCATTCTATATTTGATACCCACTGGTATTCCTATATAAATTAGGTAGGATGAAATCAAGACCAATTTTACTTGGTATTTTAAAGAAGGTTTACTCTGGCAGCAATTTTTACTGTCAATTTAAAGGACGTTTAGAAATTACTTGTATGTGTTATTCATACTATCAATGTCCCATTAGCTTGTTTTGTTTAGAATCTGCTGCATCACCAAGAGATAAAAAATGCAACTGTGCATGTACAAAGATAATGACTGTTCATTACCACCTGGCCAGCACATATTTTTATCAAGGCTCAGTTTGCAAAGTTGATCTGAGGATAAATGAAAAAAGAAAAAAAATAAAAATAAAAAGCTCAAAAGCATGGGAATAGTCTTAGGCAATCAAAAATCAGAGAGGTTAAGTTGGAGGCAGATAACAAGGGGCTTCAGATAAAGGGTTTATTTACTTGAAATTCCAGCCTCTCAAGCATCCCTTATACCTTCACGAGGGAAGATTTTACTGATTACACATGCTAATAGCTCATTAAGAATATAACACAAAGAAGACAAATTACAGAGTCAAAAGGTGAACAAGGTAAGTGGAGGCCCCAGTTAACTAAGTGTAGGTCCCCTGATTTACTTTTTTTTTTTTTTTGTACCTTGTATACAGTGTAAATAGACTAAGTTGCTCAGTACCAGATACAAGCTATGGATAGCTATGGATATGAGTAGTGACTGGGAATAATAATATAGTGCCAAGCAATCTAGTGCTCAAAAGTTTAAAAATTTCAGGAGTATAGCATTTTTGCAATGTAGCAATCATATTGATATACAATATCTTTGTTCTTTTCCCTAGAACTAAAGTACTGAGACAGAAACTTAAACTGATGTAATTAGGAGATATTATTGGGATAGATGTATGAATGAGGACAAGAAAATCTCTAATAGAAGATTTTGGTATACCGAGAATTTTACTTAGGTTTAGAAATACAAGCTATATTTGTGAGTCAAACTCCTACAGTATTTGCTATTTAGAGATATTAATGATAATAAGATCCACTGTACTTACCCCAGTCTTCAAATTCTAGAGTGATAATTGGATTCTTTGAGATGTTAATACTGAATAAACATATAGGATCAAACTGACGTGCAATAATAGGTTCATTTGCCCATATCAAGATACAGGAAATTAAGAGGCACAGAGGAGAGAGATTGTAGGGCATTCTACATGGTTCTCCGAATCCTTTCTTTCCACATTGGACACGCACATTCTGTCTCCAAGGAAAGTTTTATCAGTTTGCCTCACACAACAGAGAGCATATACATTATGAAATGTCTCCATTTTTACTCTAAAAAGTGTAAAGCTTCAGGACATCTTCCAGGGAGCCATAAACCATTAATCTACAGATTCTGAGTTTATTTACAACAATAAGTCTTCAGTGGAGGACATCCTGCTAAGGGCTTTTATAGATAAGGATTCTTCTTCCTATTAAATATTACTAGTCTCTACCTGGAGTTCTAGTTGACAAGGACATTAAACTTACTTACCTCCTTTCTTTTTTTCTTCTCCTGGCCCGCACCCCTTCCTCCCACAACACACATAACAGTAAAATAAGTGAGTGGATCTTAGACCAGCTGCTTTAACACTTTTTTCCCCCAAATATTAATCAATGAAATGTAACTGAGTCAAAATTTGCAAAAACATTTCCCAAAACTACGTAAATATTCAAGCATATAATGAAATTTTGCAACCCTAATAAACTAGTTGAAAAAGACCGGGAGTATGTCTACAATTTCTGACAAAACTAGAAAGTCTTTGAAATTAAAGAATGAAATAATCATGTAGATAATGGTGATGGTGATGATGATGATGATGATGATAGTAATTAAGCTCTCACCACTTTTAAAGCACTCTTCTATATTCTTTATGGGTATGGTATTATAAGACACATAATAGTCTTCTGGGGTAGGCACTATTATTTTGCTATTTAATAGATGTAGAAATTGGGGTATAGAGAAATTCAGTGACTTAGCCAGGTTTACCAGCTAGTGGATTCTGACATCATTTATCAAATTCAGGTAGTCTGACTCCAAAATCCATGCTATTGACTGCTAACTCATGTATGAGAAGAACATAGACATATCAAATTCAACATATTTTTATGGGCTACCAAACACAGATGAAGTAGAAGATATAGCAAACAGCATAAAACCTGCCAAAAAAGCCTAGAAGTTGAATTAGAGGATATGGCAAAATGAGATATAGTTGGGTATCAACATCATAGAGGTGATAATTGAAGCAATTTACAAATGGAGATAACTTTTCCAAATAAGTGTGATTATCAGGCTGAAATTCTAAGTTAAAATGCTTTAGTATAGAAGTGATTTGGAATGTGATTTTAATTTGTAAAATCCTAAATAAGGTGAAGGCTGATCAACTAAACTGAGAAAGGAGTGGTAAACAAGAGAGAGAGAAGTATGACCTACATTGCCATCTGTTGGGAAATGAACATCTGTCATGTTGAATGAAAGATGAAGTTTGGAAATTCCCAATGAATCTCAACAGCCAGCATTACTATTTAACAGCAAAAACAGATTTCAAGCCTAATTTAGCTTTTTAATTTTTTTTTTAATTTGGAAAAGATTTTTAAAGAAGAAGGAAAAAATAAATCTCCAATAAGTTAGAAACCACGGCTTTTAAGATTCCCAGATATAATTTTAAATCAAATTAGAATAGAATTGTGCTAGAGAAAGAATATTTTCAAAACTTGTCTCCAGAGTAGATTTTATGCTCTCCAGAAGCATCTTGTTTTCTGACTAATGGAACTATGCATTTCATAAGATATGGCGGCAAAAATCCTAGCCTGCAATTTAGTCTCAGCTCTACCATGGTGTCATTTTAGTAGTCATTTGACTCTTTGAGTATAAATTCCCTTGTTTGTAAAGTGGATGAGATTGGATTAAGTTATTCTCAAGGTCAACTTTCAATTGCTCTCCTATTTATTATGTGTACAATAGCCTGTTAATAATTACATGCTTGATATCATATTTATTTTGTTGATGGAAATAGTATTCCTAGAACTTCTTTTTCTCCTTCTCTCCCACTTCTCATTATTATTGTTATTGTTGTTATTATTATTGTTATTTTACTTCTTCTGAAATCTTACATTGATATCTTTACTTTAGGGTGGAGTCAGTGGGTTGACTGGAGAACTAGAATTTGGAGAGAATGGAGGAAATCCCAATGTCCACTTTGAAATTCTTGGAACCAACTATGGAGAAGAGCTTGGCCGAGGTGTTCGCAAGGTAAGACCAGACACATTGATACGTGTTTTTTCCTAAAGTAACTATAGTTTTGTTTGATTTTTCTCCATGTCATATGATCCCAGTATGCATTAAAGCCCGTATTGTATTTTGAAAGAGAATGGGGAGGGGAGAATTAGGCATTTAAATGACCTTAAGTACTTCTCAGAAGTATTAAGCAATAAATTCTATTTATGCCTTAGAATAATTTAAAGGAAAAAAAGTGATCTAGGGAACTAGCATCATCTTCCATTCATTATAATAATAATTTGTATAAAGTAGTGAATTTAACATTTATACAATGCATAACTGCTTGGTTTTTAACTTATAACAGGCCCAAAATCAGAATAAGAGCTTTGATACATTTCATATAGAAAGAGGAAAAGTCTACTCTAAACCGTGACATTAACAGGAGTTCAAATTCTATGTATCATGTAATAGGTAGAAAATGGTTTGCAGGAAATGAGCTCTTATTCTATACTACAAATCACATGTAAGAATATGAGTGCCGATAAAGGATATTTTATGAACTACTGGTTCACTAACTTTCTCAAAGAGAAAATAAAAACCCCTGCAGAAATGAATTTTCTATACTTTGGATTTGTCATGTTTATGTATTTTTCGTAGGAAAAAACCCAAGATAATTGAGTGTACATCCAGAGCTCACAGCTGTTAATTTCTAACTGTATAAAGGTGGCTGCATTGAGAATAAGAGGTTCTTCAGTAGGTGTTTCTCTCCAGTGCTGAGAGTAGGATGCAGAGAAACTTAGATATGACAAAGTTAGGAGTTATTCTAATCCATAGTAAAAACTTCCTGGTAAATTTATGCTAGAGAGAAGTGGAAACTACCCTAATGTTTTTTTAATTATTGTTTTACAGCGAAACAAAGGAGACATATAAAAAGTCTATAAAACACAAGGATAGTTTAGTGAATTACTTTAAAGGAAACAACCACTACTACAGCTAAGAAATATAACATATCAAGCATCTTAATCACCCCCACATACTTCTCCCTGATACATCGCTGGCCTCCTTTCTCAGTAGCATAACCATTAGTCTGAATTTTATGATATTCATTTCTTTACATTTTAAGTATAATTTTATCACTATGTGTATCCTTAAATAACATAATTGAGTTTTGCCAAAATTTCAGTTTATGAATGGACTCAGTATTTCATATATTCTTTTTTCTTGCTTCTTATGTTCAACATTCTGTTTGTGTTATTTGTTCTTTTCCTTACATGTAGTTGTAGTTTATTTCCATGTATTACTGTATTGTTTTTACCAAACGAATGTGTGACAATCCATTGTGGTCTGTTTCCATTTTTAGACTATTATAAGCAAAGCTGTTATGAACATTCTTGGACATATCTTAAATATATACTCTTGAACTTGTGAATATATTTCTGTGGGTTTGGTATCCAGGAATAGAATTAATTAATATAAGAAAGCATATCTTGAAACTTCACCCTATCACCTCAAACCCATTTTTGTAGAGATTTACTAATTTTCATACCACCAACAGTGTAACGAGTTCTCATTGCCCTGTGTTCTCACGAAATTTTGGTTTCATTAGACTTCAACATTCTTATTAAGTTATTGGGTATATAATGATATATCTTCATGGTTTCAATTTTCATTTCCCTGATTATAAAAACGTTCTGTATATTTTCTTGTACTTTTTGACACTTCAGATTTCTTTTGGAATTAATTGCCCACTCAAGTCCTTTGGACATACTCTTTTGGGTTGTCTTTTTTTTTTTATAATTGATTCTAGGAGTTACAAATATACATATATTATATATACATATAAGTTTTTATTTAAATTGCATTAAGTTTCACAGACTCTTTAACTATAGTCAACAAACTGAGGGTTACTGGAGGAGAGGTGGGCAGGAGGGGTTAGTTCACAGTGAAATACTGGTTTCAGGAGTAGAATTTACTGATTCATCACTTACATATAACACCCAGTGCTCATCACAAGTGCCCTCCTTAATACCCATCACCCATTTAGCCCATGACCCCCACCTTGCCTCCAGCAATCCTCAGTTTGTTCTCTGTAGTTAAGACCCTGTTTTATAGTTTGCCTATCTCTTTTCCCCCATGTTCATCCATTTCATTTCTTAAATTCCACATATGAATGAAATCATATGGTATTTGTCATTCTCTGACTGACCTATTTTGCTTAGCATAATACTCTCTAGCTCCATCCATGTCACTGCAAATGGCAAGATTTCATTCTTTTTTATGGCTGAGTAATATTCCATTGCATATATACACCACATCTTCTTTATCCAGTCATCAGTCGATGTATATTTGGGCTCTTCCCATAATTTGGCTATTGTAGACAATGCTGCTATAAACATCATGGTGCATCTGCCCCTTCAAATTAGTATTTTTGTATCCTTTGGGTAAATACCTAGTAGTATAATTGTTGGATTATAGGATAGTTCTATTTTTAACGTCTTGAGGAGTCTCCATACTGTTTTCCAGAGTGGCTGTACCAGTTTTCATTCCCACCAATAGTGTGGGAGGGTTTCCCTTTCTCCACATCCTCTCCAGCACCTGTTGTTTCTTGTGTTGTTGATTTTAGCCATTCTCACAGTTGTGAGGTGATATCTCATCGTAGTTTTTATTTGTATTTCCCTGATGATAAGATGTTGAACATCTTTTCGTGTGTGTTAGCCATTTGTATGTGTTCTTTGGGAAAATGTCTACTCATGTCTTCTGCCTAGGTATTAATTGGATTATTCATTTTTGGGGTGTTGAGTTTTAGAAGTTCTTTGTATATTTTGGATACTAACCCTTTATCAGATATATCATTTGCAAATATCTTCTCCCATTTCATAGGTTGCCTTTTTGTTTTCTTGATTGTTTCCTTCACTGTGCAGGAGATTTTTACTTTGATGAAGTCCCAATAGTTTATTTTTGCTTTTGTTTCCCTTGCCTAAGGAGACATAACTAGAAAGAAGTTGCTACAGCCAGTGTCAAAGAAGTTACTGCCTGTGTTCTCCTCTCAGATTTTAATGGTTTCAGGTCTCACATTTAACTCTTTAATCCATTTTGAATTTATTTTTGTGTATGGTGTAAGAAAGTGATCCAGTTTCATTCTTTTGCATGTTGCTGTCCAGTTTTTCTAACATCATTTGTTGAAGAGACTGTCTTTTTCCCATTGGATATTGTTTCTGGCATTGTTGAAGATTAATTGAGCAATAGTTGTGGGTTACATTTCTGAGTTTTCTTTTCTGTTTCACTGATCTATATGTCTATTTTGTGCCAATACCATACTGTTTTGATCACTCCAGCTTTATAACTTGAAGTCTGGAATTGTGATGCATCCAGCTTTGCTTTTCTTTTTCAAGACTGCTTTGACTGATCATGGTCTTTTGTGATTCCATGCAAATTTTAAGATTGTTTGTTCTAGCTCTGTGAAAAATGCTGTTGTTGGTATTTTGATAGGAATTGCATTAAATGTGTAGATTGTTTTGGGTGGTATAGACATTTTAACAATATTTATTCTTCCAATCCATGAGCATGGAATGTTTTTCCATTTCTTTGTGTCATCTTCAATTTCTTTCATCGGTGTTTTATAGTTTTCAGAGTACAGGTCTTTCACCTTTTTGGTTAGGTTTATTCCTGGGTATCTTACTATTTTTGGTGCAGTTGTAAATGGGATTGATTCCTGAATTTCTCTTTCTGCTGCTTCATTATTGGTGTATAGAAATGCAACAGATTCCTGTACATTGATTTTTTTATCCTGAGACTTCACTGAATTCACGTATCAGTTCTAGCAGTTTTTTTGGTGGAATCCTTTGGATTTCTCTATAGAGTATCATGTCATCTGCAAATAGTTAGAGTTTTACTTCTTCTTGCTGATTTGGTTGACTTTTATTTATTTTTGGTGTCTGATTGCTATGGCTAGGGCTTCCAGTACTATGCTAAGTAACAGTGGTGAGAGTGCACATGCTTGTCTTATTCCTGACCATAAAGGAAAAGCTCTCAGATTTAGTATTAGCTGTGGATTTTCCATATATTCCTTTACTATGTTGAGGTATGTTTCCTCTAAATGTACTTTATTGAGAGTTTTTATCATGAATAGATGTTGTACTTTGTCAAATGCTTTTTCTGCATTGAAATGATCATACAGTTTTATCCTTTCTCTTATTGATTTGATGTATCACATGGATTTTGATACTAAGGTTATATTGCCCTCATAAAATGGGGTGGAGAGGGTTTTCTCTTTTTCTATTCTTTATGAGTTATACAAAATTAGAAGAATTTCTTCTCTGAGAGTTTGGTCAGTCAACCTAAATAGGCCTAGAATTTTCTTTCTGGGATTTTTTTTAACAACAAATTCTACTTTCCATGATAAAAAAAAAAAAAAAAGTCATGTTTTCTAATTCTCATCAACTCAAGAAGTTTTATTGTTATGATCTTTTTATTTTTTATATGTATTGGCATAAAATTGTTAATATCTTTTAAAATATCTGAAACATTTCAATATCTGAACTTATTTTCATTTTTGAATATTTTTCTTGGTAATTAATACTTTAAAAATTATTATTATAAAGACTTCTACTTCTTTTTTTTTTTCAAAGATTTATTTATTTATTTATTTGACAGAGAGAGACACAGCAGGAGAGGGAACATAAGCAGGAGGAGTGGGAGAGGGAGAAGCAGGCTTCCTGCAGAGCAGGGAGCCCAGTGAGGGGCTCGATCCCAGGACCCTGGAATCATGACCTGATCCAAAGGCAGACTGAGCCACCTAGGTGCCCCAAGACTTCTACTTCTAATAATGCTTTCTTCCCTAAAAAAAATATCTTGTCTGTTATTAATAGAGCTAAACCAACTTTCTTTCAATTACTATTTGGATGGCATTTATTTTTACTATCCTTTTACTTTCAACTTTTCTACATCCTTTTGTTCTGCACATAATTCTTATTAAAAGTATATAATTAATTATTTGACACTAATTTGGCTTTCATTCCTAAAAACTAAAGCAT